TTAAGTGAACGGCATTAAATTAGAATGTTTAATACATGTTTGTCAACCATCTCGTGTAGACGGACTAAAATAACCCTTATGCATGTTGAAGTCATACCGGGCATATTTCGCCTCCACCCTCGTTTTTGGATTGTAACGATGCGACGTTTTACATGAATGTACTGCCAGTGAAGAAACGCTGAATAAATACTCATTCAGAAACAGTGCCGATTTGACAATGTTGTTTACAAGTAAGACTTAGGGCACAGTAATTTTCAAGGAGTTACAATAACTCCTCTACTGGGGTTAATTTAACTCCTTACAGTGGAGTTATTTTTTGAGGGAGTTATTTCAACTCCAAAAAGGAATTTACAGAACTCATTTTCCGGAGTAAAAATCACCCCAGATATTGAGGAGTTAAAATAACCCCCAAAAAGGAGCAATCCTGTAAGTAAAATTTTTACTCCACTTTCGGAGTTAAAGTAACTTCAAAAAGAGTAAAAACAACCCATGTAAGGAGTAAAATTAACCCCATTTTCGGAGTTATTTTAACTTCAAACTGGGGGTTAAACAGACCTCTTTTCCAGGAGTAAAAAGGACCCCAAATTTGGAGTTAAATTAGGAGTTAAAGTAACCCAAAAAAAGGGGTTATCCTCTACTTAAAATTTTTTCTCCATTTTTAGAGTTATAATAACTCCCCAAAAATAACTATGTGGGAAAATTAGCTACGTAGTATGACGTGAACGGGCGAGAGGACTATTAACAATTTTTGCTTACAAACGAGACTTAGGGGTGACATTTGCTCGTTTGACATAATCATGCACAAGGGCCACTGTCCGAGGCCCAGAGGGACTCCCTTAAGAAGACGTGGATGATCCTCCTCTCGTCAGGAACTCATTTGGGCTCTTACTCTCGCGTAGGAGTGTAAATTGCAGATTTTGATCCGAATTAGAATGTTCAGGACGGAACGCCATTATTTTTACTCATAAAGGTGTCGCTTAGGATTTTGCGCAAAAAAATATCTTTATAAAACGTAGCAGGCGCTGTCAGTCAATGGAAGTGCAATTAAAATTACTCAAGTCTTGTATGGTTGTCGTTTTCATTTCATCAATCAGGGGTCAAATAAACCCTTGGCCACGCCAAGATTGCTCTTCTTTAGGGTTTTCCGGTAATTCCCATTCAATGGGCCTTTGCACGAAACGGTCACATGGAACAAAAACACCTTACTGGATGGCAAACGACGCGGTGAGGCAGGAAAAACAAAGGGATGACCTTATTCAGAAAATTAATACAGTCGAGCCTCCTGTTAGCCTGCGAGCCGCAGACGTATTTCCGGTCGTCGCTTCTCTTCCTCTTCAATTTTTTGGAGGTCTTGCCCTCGAAACACGAAACACGAATTTCGGTGGAGAACTCGCTCGGACCACGTGACCCGAAACGCATTAGCCGCGCGGAATAATGCGGCCTACGGACAAGGCAACGGCAGACAGTCGTTCCGTACAGTCTTTCGCTATCATTAAAAGCACTAGACACGGGAATTTTGTTATTGGCCGTTTTCACACTAGAGCTAGAAATGGATCATCCGTCCAAGACTAGCCTGTGTACAGTCGCCCCCTCCCCCACAGACAGCCCTTCTCCGATTTTTTATGAGGGGAGAGGGCGGCTGTACACAGGCCATCTGGAACGGATAATCCCGTCTTCAAAAGTCAGGTGGATTGTTCAGTCAAAATTCCATTTTCATTCCATTCCATTTTCAAATTAAGACTTATTACCTATCTGACGCGAATCATCAAACGAATAACCCGTCTCACGCGAATAATCCTTCTCTAGTGTGAAAACGGCCATTTCTGTTATAATGAATGTCGCGCCCCGGCCTTGGTTGGGCGTTTGCGTGTCTGCTTTTGCTTTTTCACAAAGACTATTTTTAAATTGTCTTTTGACATTTCGATGTGTAAAATAATATAAGAAGTGGAATACTTTATACAAAGTATGATCTACCAAATGTTAAAATTTTTCAAAAGAATAGCTTTTTTCATCCCGAGATGATTCGAGGACCTTTATTTTGACTTAAAGATACAAAAAAAATAGGGGTTAATTAATATTTAACTTTTTGAAACAAAAGAAGTTAATTTTTAACTTTTTCGTTAACCGTAACTGAAAAAAATTAACCGATAGCCGTAAAAGAGCCAAAATTTTAGCCGATAACCGTAAAAGCCATCACCCCATTGAGACTCTCTGTTTTCCCTCCAGCAAGGTGTTTTTGTACCATGCGACCGTTTTGCGCAAAGGACCCATTGTTAATAAATCTAAATATTGAGCACTTTGCAAGAGACATTCTTCGATAGAAAAATCGAAAATCTTGACTCTATGAGGGCATGTCCAATCTTTCTATGAAATGCCTCCATTCCTTTCTTTCAAATGACACGACAACGCCCCCTGTCTTCGGGCGATGTGACTTGCCAAGTCCCCAGGCCTCATTATTCCGCGCGGCCTGTGTGTTTTCGGGTCACATTTTCCGAGCGGCCATTGACCGAGAAGACAACAAATGACGAAAGAATTTCCGTTAAGCTGCGAAGCACTTTAGAAAATAGAAGTAACACAAATATTCATTAAAAATAATAAATAAATCATGAACAAAAGTGCCGTGTTTAGGGTGAAGTTATCCTTTCCAAACGTTTCGGGCCTGGCCCTTCATCAGTGGAATTAATTGACCGAGAAGGGCGGGGAAGACGCCCTACAGGGACCAGGCAACAAGGCGAACAAAGGTTTTCAAAACCTATAAAAAAGGTTACNAAAAGAAGTTAATTTTTAACTTTTTCGTTAACCGTAACTGAAAAAAATTAACCGATAGCCGTAAAAGAGCCAAAATTTTAGCCGATAACCGTAAAAGCCATCACCCCATTGAGACTCTCTGTTTTCCCTCCAGCAAGGTGTTTTTGTACCATGCGACCGTTTTGCGCAAAGGACCCATTGTTAATAAATCTAAATATTGAGCACTTTGCAAGAGACATTCTTCGATAGAAAAATCGAAAATCTTGACTCTATGAGGGCATGTCCAATCTTTCTATGAAATGCCTCCATTCCTTTCTTTCAAATGACACGACAACGCCCCCTGTCTTCGGGCGATGTGACTTGCCAAGTCCCCAGGCCTCATTATTCCGCGCGGCCTGTGTGTTTTCGGGTCACATTTTCCGAGCGGCCATTGACCGAGAAGACAACAAATGACGAAAGAATTTCCGTTAAGCTGCGAAGCACTTTAGAAAATAGAAGTAACACAAATATTCATTAAAAATAATAAATAAATCATGAACAAAAGTGCCGTGTTTAGGGTGAAGTTATCCTTTCCAAACGTTTCGGGCCTGGCCCTTCATCAGTGGAATTAATTGACCGAGAAGGGCGGGGAAGACGCCCTACAGGGACCAGGCAACAAGGCGAACAAAGGTTTTCAAAACCTATAAAAAAGGTTACAACAACTTCATCCCAGAGGAAACGGTTTGGCATGCAGCACTGTTAAACAAATCACGGCCTATTAAGTTTTATAAAAACTCAATAACCTCAATGGGATTGGTTAATTTGAAAAACAAAGCATAAACGAAAAGATTGACATCATCATGGTAGTTTCTTTGTGTTGCGGTTGGGTTCAATCATCAAATGACGTAACACAAAAGATTAAAAAGACTTTGAAGGAAACCCACAAAAAAAAAACAATATATATCCTACAATGGTTTCTGTGAAACCAATAAAGACCGATCATCGCGTAAGTACAACTCTGGGGAAAACTGTGTACAGTGTTTCCGCACAAAAGCGTGGCTTCTTCGGCTAAGATATGTTAACCTGTAAGCCACGCCTATGAAATGAAATTTTTTTTCCTTTTAGAGGTGTTTTCGAAAACATCGGACGAGCACCCGGTCAGTTTTATTAGGTAGGAAGAAGTCATCCTCGATTCCAACCCAACACCACCACCACTCAGACAGAAACCATACCTGGATATACGGCGGCACGTCCTATATACATGGACAGAAGATCCCCCACCCCTCCCTTCCCACACGCGCACACATATCTCTCACCCCCAAAACATGTCTAGAGTTTTGAGATCTGGGACGAGAAAGCAACTCCCTAATGCTCTTCATGAAAGGTTTCGGCGTAGCCTCCCTTGCAGAGGTTCATAAGGCTTTATCACGAGCTCCTTTCCGCGTGTCGAAGCCCTAAGAAGCCTGCGTGGGAGGCTCGTGTTTGCGAGTTCCATCGAGTTTTGTGATCTTCATGCAGAATCATGCAGAATGTGGTCGGATGGGTACTTGAAAACCAAGACGTAGTCGTGAAGAACGCACTGAATGACCAGCTGACTATCAATTTCCATTTCGTAAATAGCTTTGTTATTAAAGTGAATTCGATTTAAATGACTATAGTTGACGACATTTTTGACGTCAATGTTTGAATGATCAGTAAGCGTTCATGGAGGAAACATGATAAACTTGCTAATTGTTGATGAAAAACCAAACACAGTATTTACTTTACCGTTTTTTACATCAGAATTTGGCAATTGATATTGGTTTCAGAGAACTTTGTACTGTTCGTGATGTATCATCTGATCAACAAGGTCGTTCTGTAGCGGAAGTCCGCGATTTAATCTTTCTGAAGACTGGCCCGAGCGGAAGCGACCGACCGGAACAATGCCTTGCGAGCTTGCAGATGTTGTCTTTGAGCCAAGAGCAAAATGGCGGCTAATGCAATGGAAA